AATGCAGGCTGTTGAGGAGGAAGGAAGAAATGATGATGACTGAGATTTCTAGTTTGAAAATCTGAGTAATTGGTGATGCCATTTACTGAAATAGGAGTGGAAGGAAGGACTCTATGTGAGGCCCACCAGAAACTTTACCTGTGTTATCTTCATTCAATTAAACAAACCCATGATGAAAAGATTAAAATGCCCATTTTCCAGATAAGAAGATTGAGGTTGACTGAGGTTAAATAATTTGTCCAAGGTTACACAGATGGTAAATAAAAGAGCTGGGATGGGAAATAAAGTCTTGCTCCAAAGCCTGTATCTTTCCATAATGGTATTCTACACTCTGACAGTAATTTTAATTTAGAATAATAGGACTGAAAACCATGGGAAAGACAGAGCTAGAAACATGGTCCTTTCAGAGGGGGGCTGGTGCAGAGTGAAGAAAGATTAAAGCCTCATAGTTTTGGGATGAAGGATTAAAGCAACACTGTCCAATAAAATTTTCTGCAGAGATGGAAATGTTTTATACTTGCACCATCCAATACAGTAGTCATTACCCCATTTAGCTATGGAACACTTGCAAAGTGGCTAATATGACCAAGGAACTGAAATTTTAATTCTAATGTTAATTAGTTAATTTAAAACTAAATAACTGTATGTGGCTAGTGAGTGACTACTGAATTGGATAGTTTAGGACTACAGGAACCAACTGGACATGGAAAGTCCATCAGAGGGCAGGCCTTGCTGGTGCTCCCGAAAAGTCACTAGGCATTTGATCATCTGCCTCATATCTGTGGGTAAGATTGGTCCTAAGTTTGGGGACTACAATTCACTAATTACGAATGTGTGGACAACACAGTAATTTTACCAAGTCTTATCTTTGGGAGGAGAGTAAGTACAGTACTCTACTTCCTTTCTTATATAAAACAAAAATCACAATCATTTTCTCTGTATTTACATTTTTCTGTGTGAAGTGTTACTTAAGAGCTTGAGCTCCAGGCAAATGCCTGGGTTCAAATTCCCTTTCTGTCACTGAATGTGTTGTGTCTTGAGTTAGTTACTTCACGTCCTCAAACTTCACTTTCACTACCTGTAATATAGGGATAACAATAGTACCATACTCACGGGGCAGTTGCGAAGATTAAGTTAAATAACCGATGTAAAACGCTTAGCCAGGAGCTGGCACATGCTAAGCACTCCGTGAAGTTTCGTTATTCTGTAACTAGTACCTTGTTGTGATGAGTTTGAACTTTGCTCCCCTGTATTTTGACATTTACTTGACTCTGTGCATAAGTAAAGGTATTCCCTAGGATCTCTAAATGTCAGAACATTCCAAAAAGAAATACACATTAATCAAGATAAAAAGGTAGAGGGGCTTTTGAAAAGTTACTGTAGGCAGGAGTTTTGCAGTAACTTTTGTATTTCACTTTGATTTTCATTTGTTAAAAGTATTTTAAATCAGTAGAGTGGCAAATCATAGCCCTGATATTTTGTTGTGATCATTAAAATTTCCCTGGTTTTACCTCGAACAGTTCATACACCACTATCAAGCAAAAAGACGAGGGGCTCTAAATTTTGATTCAAAAGGTTTCTTGATGTCTTGAAGCTCTGAAGAATTTCATACCACTTAAATAGGAAATATTTAAAGCCTAGTCTCTGGTTATCTCAGAAATGTCTGGATAGGTTGTACGGTGTAGGATAGATCAAAGTCTATTTAAAGACTAATGACTTTAGAAGTAGGAACAAGTAATAGGATTCTTTTTGTTGCCGATTTTGTACTTTCTAATCTTTAGATGGAAAAACAGCATTGTAATATAGTCTTGCACTCTGTATAGTGTTTGTGCAAAATACAAATATATTTTTTCATTAGGTTAGGGTGTTAAGAAATCTGTGTTCAAGTGCAGTTTTGCTGCTGTTTTGCTTAAGTAAGGAAAAGTCATTGACCTCTTTCGGCCACAGAGAGGTAAACGTCTTCCGTAAAACCTGCGTTGATGAATGCTTCATCCTAGAATGATCTCTTAAGTATCCTTCCAACTAAATTTTCTTGAATTTGCCCTTTCTTTTCCTCTTTAGCCTTAAAGGACTTAGGTAATTCTTAACTTCCATTCTTTTATAAACATGCTCTTGAAATGTTCTTAGAATATCTCATTTCCTGGGCGCCTGGGTGGCTCAGTTGGTTAAGCGACTGCCTTCGGCTCAGGTCATGATCCCAGAGTCCCGGGATCGAGTCCCGCATCGGGCTCCCTGCTCAGCAGGGGGTCTGCTTCTCCCTCTGACCCTCCCCCCTCTCATGTGCTCTCTCTCTCTCATTCTCTCTGTCTCAAATAAATAAATAAAATCTTAAAAAAAAAAAAAAAGAATATCTCATTTCCTTAGAAGACAATTCATGGGTGAGTCAGCGTGAAGGACAAAACCCACTCACAATAGATATCAAAATTGCATGAGGCGGTGAAACGAGAAGTGATTTTCTTTGTAAACTAAAATGATGAGGTACAGAGGAACCAGTTACTTATTTATAAAATGAGTGCGCGGTGGAAGGCTTTAGGTAGCAGAGATAGCGCGCAAGACGAGAGGGTAGCAGGGAGTCCTGTCCATACTGCCTTAAAACTGTTACTATAAACGTTCCTTGAGGGAGGGAGTAAGATGGGTGTCTGGCGGCGGACGGAGGGAAGGATCCCAGCAAAGCAGGTTAAAAGCCTTCCCCGCCTCCGCCGGTCTTCTCTGGAAATGCATAATTAAAGGAATTTCCTCCAGCAGCCCCGGAACGTTCGGTGGCCCTTTCCACGTCACTATTAGGGCAGCCAGAAATTTTGCTTTCGCAGGCGGTGCCTTGCCGACTCCTGCGGGTCCTCTGGCGGACGCCGAATGTCGCCCTCCGTTCCGGGCGAAGTCCGGCGGCGAGGTGGCTCGGAACCCGGGCTCGGGGCGCAGCGGCCAGGGGAGGGCTCCCAAGCGTTTCCTGGGTGAGCACGGCGGCCGGGCCGTTTCCGGAAGGCTGATTGCATCAGGTGTGGAGCTGGGCGCCTCCTCGGCCCAACCTGGCGGCCACTGCGCCTGCGCGCGTCGCCCCGCCCCGCCGCCGAGGACTCCACCGCGGGTTTTCCTCGCGGTCTGGAGGAGAACAAGCCGGGAGGGGCGGGCGCCATTGGTCGCCCCGGGACCCCCGGGAGAGGGGACAGCAGGGTGGGACTCCTGGAGGGCCGCGGGGAGCTGTGGGGTCCGTGGGAATACAGCGCCACGGAAAGAGGACCTGCCTGGAAGGGTGGAGGCTGGTCCTGCTACTGAAGGGCGGGGTGGTCTTGGGTTGGCTAATTTCTTCGCCTCTTTGGACCTGAGGGACGTAGAGCAGAACTAGAGGGCTTTCCAGTTCAGGGTCTGCATTTCCCCAGATTGGGTTGAACTATGGCCTCCGGCTGTCCAGGAATCCCAAACTCAATAGGCGGATCTTGGGGTGCGGGGACTCAGCCCTAAGGGTGAGCACTTTCATGGATTTACAGGGATTTCTCAGTGGCAATATTGTTTTTCTGTTACAGTAAGGAGCAACATGATTGCTGGCCTTCAGATGGGTCTGAGGAAAATTGTTCATGGGAAAGGTTTTAGGGGTGCAAATATCGGAAACCGGTCTTCCGCAAGGCAGCTTCCTTCCACCACTCATTATTTGCAACCCTACTGTGATCAGCATCAGGGTTCCATTATACACTCTTTTATGCACGTGTCGTAGATCTCCCTCCTAGCACTCTCCATGTTTTATATGACATTTTTGAGTGATTATTTGGTGGATGTCTGCCCACCCCGTTGGACTGTAAGCTCTATGAAGGCAGGGGTCTTGAGTTTTTTTATTCACTGGTATTCCCAGGCTTACTATAGACCTTAAGGATCCTCAATAAATACATGGTATTTGAAGCAATAAAGTACTGCTCACCACAACCACACACAATCCTCACATGAAGAATAAGGAGCAGCTAGGTGTGAGTTTGTTATTTGAGGAAGTAGTGCATTCTGGAAGTTTGGGGAAGAGGGTAAGTGAGGAGAAGCCATAACTTCATAGTTACTATTAATTTACTTTTAGCATAATCCTCCTGACACAGATCCTAGGTAAGGCTGTGTGTGTATGTATGTATAGTATTGGTTCTCAAAGTGTGGTCTTCAAGAGCAGCTGCGCCAGCATTACACGGGAACTAGTCAGATATACAGATGCTTGGGCCTCACTGCACACCTACTACTCATTCAGAGACCCTGGGAGTGGGACCCAGCATTTTATTTCTGTAAAGCCTGGGGGTGATTCTGACGCAGGCTCGAGTTTTGACAACCACTGCACTGGTGAAGAACAACCCTAAGGATGCTTTGGGGATGCCATTCACAGTGTCCAGGGCAGAGCACTGATTACTGCTTACAGAGTATCCATTCTTATCAGGACTCTGCTTCTCTGCGTACAGTTCGAGTATAGGTAATATTCCTGGGGGTCACAAGGAAATTATGCTTTTCCCCTCCTGCAGGTATGTTCTCCCCTGAGGTGCTCTTGCTGTGACTTTCACATCAAGGAATGGTGTGTGTGTGTGTGTGTGTGTGTGTGTGTGGCATATGCCTGGGGTTCTGGATAAGGAAGCAGAAGGAGAAGTTCTCGCCTACAAGTTGCAGCTGGGTGGGTGTGGGCAGCTCTCATCTGGGTACATTTTCCCATTATAAAGGATTGCAGACAATGTGGGAGAAAAGACTAGCCAGGGATGAGGTTACCCAACTGCCTTTTGGTGCAGACAGACGCCAGGCCACATGGAGGGGATACCGGGCTGCATCGCGACTCCCAGCCTTTGGCTCTCGACACCCAGGCCCCCACAGCCTCCCTGCCATCTTCCCAGGCAATAGGGGAACTAAGGGTCCCAGACGCCCCGCAGCCTCTGCCTGCAGGGGTCGCACTAGGAGCGCGGCCCGCCCCCTCCTCCTCGGCCCCCGCCCCCGGCCCCGCCTTTCTCGCGGTCGGCCCCCGCCTGGCCGGGCCCCTCCAGCCTCTCCTCGCGCAGCCGCCGCCAAAGCCTGGAGAAGTGGAATCTCGCCGGCGCCGCTGCCTGCGCGGGACTCGCGGAGCGGCACTGGGCATGCTCAGTCGCCGGAGCCCGTCCTGGTCTCAAGTAGGAAGCTCGTGCGCTGCACCCGCAGCTGATCCGGGCGCTCCGGGAAAGGCGAGACTGGAGCAGAGCCGCCGGGCGCCGGTGCCGGAGCGAGCGCGGCGCGCACCGCCGGTGAGCCTCGCTTTCTTCCTTGCTTTTGCCCTGGACGCCGGGCGGCCCGGGAGTGCTGGCGAGAGACCCGGGCAGCGGCAGCGGCGTGCGACGAGTGACTGCGCGCAGCCCCGGCGGCTGCTTCTCTCCTGCCGGCCCCTGGGGCTGCGCGGCCACTGCCGCCCGCCCCGCCGCAGCCACAGCTGCCGCAGCTGCCGCCGCATCTGCAGCGGGCGCCCGTTGCGGACTCCGGTGCGCCCTGGGCTCGCGCCGCAGGGCCGGCAGGGTGGCACGGAGACTGCGGGCTCACTCCTTGACTTCCATCCCTCTTGCTTCCCGGCGCCCTCTTTCCCTCGGCAGCCCGGGTTTGGCAGGGCCCGGGGCGGGAGAGACAGGGTTGGAGGGGGTGCGCCCGGGTGGGGGCTGCGGAGGGGAAAAGTGAGGGCGGGCGCCGGCAGGGAAGAGCGCACACCCCCTTGCCCTGGCACCGGCCTCCGCTGTGCGGTTGGGCTCTCCCTCCTGGGGCGGCAGCGCGCTCCTGCCGGGGAGTTGGAGACGGCGCTGGCTTCTTGGGGGTTCAGACGCTAGCCGCTGGGAGATCAAAGGGGGAAAAGTTCATTTCCCCCTCGGAGGCAGAGAGCGTTTTAACTAGAAAATGGCTGTGCGAAGGGGACCGGATCGGGGAAGCTGGCCACTGGGTCCTGAAAGCTCCTCTGCTGCCCGCCGGGCGGAACGGAGGGTTGACGATAGAAATGACATTTGTGCGATGAAAACAGTGCTGGAGGGAGGGAGGGATGCGGAGTCCCAAAGAAACAATGCGAGGTGGTCTAGAACGCGGCGAAGCTATCTAGAACTGAGGGGGCGGGGGCGGGGGCCGAAGGGCCGAGGGAGCGTGGGACTTGAATTAAACAAAAATAAATGGGAGAAATCAGATTTAGACTTGTAGCCGTTTTGTAGTCAAGTTCTGCGCAGCTTGGAGCCACGACTGTCACAAACGTTTTTGGATGGGTTGAGTGGTTGGGAGGACCAAAATTGAGAAGAGAATAAGGGTCAGTGTCGGAAGCTCGGGTGAGGCTGGGCTCTTGGAGGGCATAGTTTTAAGAAGTCCCTCAGTCACTGGCTTTCCATTGCGCCTGATGACTTAGGTGAAATACCTGAAGGATTATCATAAGACGATGCCAGCAGTAGAGCTTCAGTTCCAAGAAATGAGGAAACTTTGCGAGGTGGCATTGGTTTGTCATTCATTATAATATTTAACTGATTTAAACCAACACACAGTGGCATCCTGATCTGTTGTGGATTTGGGTCTCTTAAGCCTTTGATTATTTTTTCCCTTGTCACGGACTTATATTTCAGATCATGTCCTGAAATGGCCATGATAATTAAGGATATCTGCATTTGTGTAGCTGGCCTTTCAGGAACAGAATCTTTGAAGGGGGATTTCTTTATGAACTCAGGTAGCAGCTTAGTTGTGTTTTCCGTTTGTAGCTTGAAAACAGTAATTGTTCAACAATTGTTTATGGTAACTTGCAGAAATGCACTGATTTGAAGAGATGGCATTGATCAAATGGACGAGGAACTTCGGCGCTGGGGGAGATGCTGGGAGAACACAGGTGGCAGTAGAGTACAATGGGCTCTTAGAACTCCAGGCGAGAAGCGGACTCAAGATTTCTCTTGCTGTCCTTTTGTCATCATCTTACTGTGTGACACCCCAAAAATCACTTGGGGTCTTCCTAATCTAGGAATGTCCCGAGATATTTGCTCAGAGCCGTTGAGAAAGGACTCTAAAGTTGAGATCCTTTTCTAGGGAAGGAGTTTCTTAAACTTTTATTCTCTTTTCCAAAGGATACTTTTAACTGGATAATTCACCCCCAAGGAGCCAGTACACCATTCTGCACTTTCTGAAACTTGTATGAAGTGGTAGTGGAAAAGCTTGGTGAACTGAAGTGTAGAAGACTGGTGCTTTACACTTAACTGGAGTAATATGAGTAAGAGACTACAAAATTATTTAAGAAAAGAGTACTAAGTATTACAAGAATCCACATGTGCAATGATAATATATTTTAAAACTGTTACTCTTTTTATGTCATGTTTCAACTTTTTAATGACTATTTCTTTTCCTGCCACCAGAAAAACAACAAACATTGAATTTTTTTTTCTGTTACAACAGAAATTAATACTGAAAGGCTTGCCATACTGTTAGTACAGGGTTATGCCGATTACTCTGATTTTAGGATATCTAAATGTGTCTTTTAAGAAAAATGGAATGTTCTATATCTTTTTTAGTTACACTTTTTTTTTTTAAATTTTTATTTTAAGTAGGCTTCACACCCATTGTCAGGCTTGAATTCACAACCCTTGGGATCAGGACCTGAGCTGAGATCAAGAGCCGGCGGTAGGGGCACCTAGGTGGCTCAGTCAGTCAGGCATCTGACTTCAGCTCAGGTCCTGATCTCAGGGTCTTGGGATCAAGCCCCAGGTCAGGCTCTGTGCTCAGTGGGGAGTCTGCTCATCCCTCTGCCCCTCTCTCTGCTCATGTTCTCATTCTCTCTCTCAAAGAAATAAATAAAATCTTAAAAAAAGAAAAAAAGAGTCGGTGCTTAACCGACTGAGCCACCCAGGCACCCCAGTTACCCTTTTAAAATAGACTACCCTGATGTTATAACACCTTAAATTTTTCATGGCTGTAGGACTTTTAGGAAAGTATTGTAAGAAGGTATTACTAGTTATGTGGGTGATTCTTATTTTTCTTCCCTAGGTTAAGGAAACTAGCATTTGTTCAGTGCTTGCTTTGTGTCAATCTGACATTAAGCTTCTCACATATGTTATCATATGTATCAGCATCTTTCACATGAATGTCAGCTTCCACAGAAAACCCCTCTGGGGAGGTGGACAGTCCTTTGTTTGCATAGCAATAGAACTTTAAAGTTCTATCCCATGTGAGAATGTTTTCTACGGGTTTCATTGTTATTAAATAAGCATTCTCATGTGAAATATTTTTGATTTGTTATTTGGAATTAGATTTGATTGGAACAGCATGTTTTCAAAATTATTTGAATGTTTTAAAGAATCTATCTGGATTTAAAAACTGTTTTCATGCTCATTTATTTTCAACAATGTTGTGCTACCAACAAATATGCTTAACTGTAAGGAAGATAAACTCAGATTACCCATTTTATGTTGAATGTGTTATTAATGCATATTCTGCATGTTGATGGCATTTCTGTCAGTTGATAGGTTTGTGAGAGTCAGAGTGACAGATTCTCTGTTATAGAGAGTTTGGTGGGATTTGGTGGAAAGACTACCAACCAGTGACTCCCAAGAGTTGCCTTCTGGGTCAGTTCTGCTACTTTAACCTACTGTGTGATCTTGGGAAAGTCGGTTTACTTTTCTGGGCCTCAGTTTTTCCATCTGTAAAATGAGGGAGTTGCAGTAGAATGCACCCTCTGGGTGCATCTGGGGTTCTTTTGTCCCAATCCAGGGGTCTGTGATGCGACCATTGGAGGAGGGGGGCCTTCATTTAGAGCATTAGAGGAAGCTAATTTTGTGTTTCACTGAGTCTGGCCTGTCCTGCTTTGAGGAATGTCTTTCTTTCTTTTTTTTTTTTTTTTTTGGCCAAATCCTTACTCCCTTTTAGTTTTTGCTAAAGAATGGTTGTCATAAAATTAACTCTGTGGCCCTGCCAAGTCTAGGTAGGAGAGAAGGTGATGATTAGATTTGGATGAAGCACATTGGTTATTTGAAACTGTTTTATAGCATCTTCTGAGGGGAGTCTCTGCTCTTGGGCACGCAGATAGGTTGAGAAAGAAGCCATCTCAGAGGCCGTAGAGGAAGGTGTCACATGTCTTGGGTGCTGAGCCCACTGACGTGAAATTTTGGCAAGCCTTTTCCATGTCCCCATCCTCTCTCCTCAGGCCTTGATTAGAAATGTAGCCCTCAGTCTCTGGAATAAAATTCTCATCATCATTTCGCGTTAGCACCATCCCTGTATTGGGCAGGTGTCCAGGGTCAGCTCCTGCAGTAGCAGGAGCGGTGGCTGGTGGAATGCACCCACTCATCTTTGGCCAGATCGTGAACTTTTTTTTTTCTTTCCTCTTTTGGCAAGTTATGATGATGGGGCCGAGAGCAAAGGAAACCCATCCATTTGGGGTTTGTAGTGCACTTTGCTTTCATGATGCTCACAAAACTCAGTGTCATTAACCTTTAAGTGAGGCAGGTGAGGAGACGCCAGAGTTGTTACCCACATTTTAATAATCGATAATAAACAGACAGCGAATCTGGTGCTGCTCTTATTAACCAGGCTGCAGGGTTGCTGGGCCTCTGGTGGGAGTGGGGCAGTAACTCCAAACACGAGGTGAGAGCATAAGAGAGGAAGGACACAGAGGGTAGAAGACAGTCAAGTCACCGCAAGTTGGCAAAAAGTAAGAAGCCTGCATCAGTTTAAAAGTATTAGAGGCCTTTAGGTGTAGACTCACAGGAGACATTTGCTTTCTGCATAATCTTATTTCCATAATGGTTGAATCTTACCTGGTCCTCTAAGCATTGAATAGATGCTAGGACAGGTATTACTTTTATCATCAGGGAAAAAGTCTCACTGTATAATTTATTGATACATAAAATGTACAGACGTATATGGACAAAGATGGGAAGAGAACATGGAAAGAATGAATGGTATGGAATTATGGATTAGGGTGTTCCTTTGTTTATTAATGATTTGACAATGGTTATAGATAAGGTGAACCAGTCTATCCTTTGCCACCTGTTGAAATCTTGCAAAATTTTGTCTACTAGGTAATAGCTGAGGTTTTTAAAGTGTAACTCTCCTGGAAAGTATGCTTTAGGAATGCTGAGAGTGGGAGGAAGGGTGGTTTTGTTTGTGTTTTTCTTTTAAAGTTGACTAAAAAGAATGCAGTTTTGTAGCTGAGCTAGAGAAGTGTGCACTTAGGAGGATGAGGTTGGAGAGAACTTGCAGAGAGCTCCAGAGAGTGCAGGGAAATGCTGTTTTGAAGAAGGAAGGTTTG